TTTCAGAGGTAGACCCCGCAATCCTTGGCTGTTGTCACTGGAAATATTTGCCACTATAATTGACACTGAATGGAACATTAATCACACTCATGTTAAAATTCCTGTACAATCCTGTACATTCAGTTTTTGCTGCCAATTCATATTATCTTGGCTTATTTGTTAATATGTTGAAAATAATGTATTTAGCACACAGAAAAAGTATTTTTACAACCTAGCTTAGCAATGATTTGCTTTGCAAGTATTGTAGTGTGTTGTGGTTTTGTATGCAGCTTGTTCAGGTACATCATTTTAACCACTTGCCCTCCTGAGGATTTTACCCCCCTTAATGACCACCGCCTCTTTTTGCTACTCGGCGCTGCACTAATTCAGCTGATAATTGCGCAGTCATGCAACGCTGCACCCAAACGAAATTTACGTCCTTTTTTTCACACAAATAGAGCTTTCTTTCAGTGGTATTTGATCACCTGTGCGCTTTTTATTTTTCACGCTATAAAACAAAAAAAGGCCAAAAATTTTGAAGAAAAACAATATTTTTTTATTTTTCAGCTATAAAAAAAATAAATAGTAAACTCAAAGTTTGTTATAAAATTTAGGCCAAAATGTATTCTCTGCTCCATGTTTTTGGTAAAAAAAATCCCCAATAAGTGTATATTGATTGCTTTGTGTGGAAGTTATATAGCGTCTACAACAGTGGTTCTTAACCTGGGTTCGATCGAACCCCAGGGGTTCGGTGAGTCAGTCTCTCGGCGGGTTCGGCGGAGGTGAAGACCCACACCCGACTCATATGATTCGTGATGACATGCCCCGCTTGTCCATCATTGGCTGCAGGTGGTCACGCAACATCGCTTAGCCCAGTGGTCGGCAAGCCGCGGCTCTTTACACGCTTTAATGCGGCTCTTGTGTGCCGGGCGCCCACTCCCCTCCCTCCTCTCGGGCGGCAGGGACTCTGCAGCGTGATCCAAAAAAAAAAAAACAGCCAGGGCAAGCGCGCTCAAATGCAATGATTGGCCAGTCTCGCTGCCACTCACATCCTGATAGCCAGTTATTGGCTGTCAGGATGTGTGTAGGTGGGGCAGCGTGACGAACGTGAGAGGAGCTAGGCTCCTCTCACAGTCCGCCCTGAAGACCGGAACGGCGCGGGAACACGGCAAGAGGAACGCGCAGAGCAAAGGTAAGTGAATTGACACAGGGGGGGGACTTGGCTTACTACTTGCTACTTACTTACTACTACTATATGGGGGATGAATTAATATGGGGGATGAATTACTATATGGGGGATGTATTACTATGGGGGATGAATTACTATATGGGGGATTAATTACTATATGGGGGATGTATTACTATGGGGGATTGAATTACTATATGGGGGATGAATTACTATATGGGGATGAATTACTATGGGGGATGAATTACTATATGGGGGATTAATTACTATATGGGGGATGAATTACTATGGGGGATGAATTACTATGGGGGAATGAATTACTATATGGGGGATGAATTACTATATGGGGAATGTATTACTATGGGGGATGAATTACTATATGGGGGATGAATTACTATGGGGGATGAATTACTATATGGGGGATGAATTACTATATGGGGGATGAATTACTATGGGGGATGAATTACTATGGGAGATGAATTACTATATGGGGGATGAATTACTATATGGGGGATGCTGGACATTTCGAGGATGCTGGACATAAAGACGAAGAAAAGGAACAGACTTTGTTGCGAAAATGACATGAGAGTGGCACTTGCCAAGGTAATGCCACGCATTTCTGAACTGGCCTCTGAAAGACAACAGCAGAAGTCACACTGATTTGCGGTAAATATTCATTATTTTGTTTTTGTGTGAAAAATCATGTTTTAATGGTTTTGTTCATTTTGTGCACCTATGTATAAATATATACCTATGTTTTGAATTTTAAAAATCATATTTTATTTTTCCAATTAAGAAGGGTTCGGTGAATGCGCATATGAAACTGGTGGGGTTCAGTACCTCCAAAAAGGTTAAGAACCACTGGTCTACAAAAACTATGGTATAGATACTGCAATTTACGCCATTTTTCTGCTATACAGCGCTGCGCTAGTTTAACGGACAATTGCGCGGGGGCCATGCAATACGGTACATAAATGAAATTTAGATCCTTTTTTTCCCCACAAATTGAGCTTTTGGTGGTATTTGATCGCCTGTGCGGTTTTTATTTTTTGCGCTATAAAAAAAAAAGTCTGACAATTTTTTGAGGAAAAAAAAACAATATTTTGGACTTTTTGCTATAAAACATGTCCAGTAAAAAAAAAATGCAAAAATCAAATTTAGTAATAAATTTCTGCCAAAATGTATTCTGCGACATGTCTTTGCTAAAAAAAAAAACCCAATACGTGTAAATTAATTGGTTTACATGAAAGTTATAGCGTTTACAAATGGCGGGAAAGATACTGGGATTTTTAGGTTTTTTTTTTTATACTAATAATGGCGGCGATCAGCGACTTATGGCGGCGATCAGGGACTTATGGCAGCAACCAGCAACTTATGGCGGGACTGCGGCAGACATTCTGACATTGGGGGGTACTGACTTGGGGTCACTGACATCCCCAAAAACACTAATACAGTGATCAGTGCAAAAAAAAAAAAACTGACACTGTACTAATGGCACTGGGGAGGAAGGGGTTAACTTTATTTTGCAGGGAAGGGTTATAGGAGTGAGGGGGAGTGTTTTACTAGGGGGCGGGGTGTGTACTGGGCGGGACAAGGCTGATCGGGAGAGGGAAACTCTTCTTTCTCGATCAGCTCACCCTCGAGCTGACAGGGAAGTGACAGACAGCACAGCTACTGCAGCTGTGCTATCTGTCACTGTTTGCCGCCGATCGCGGGGACATAGCTGCTAAGTAGCAGCTGTGACCCGGCGACTGACATCTGCGGCGGTGATCCGCGGGATAGGTCAGCGGCGTGCCTCGCGCGCGCCCCCTATTTGTTTACAAAACACACGTTTTAAAACGTGTTTTTTTGCCTGCGAGTGCCGCCCTGCCGCCATATATGTACAGTGGCTGGGCGGCATGCGGTTAAGGCAGCAAGGAATTGCCAGTTATGCAGCTCTTATGCTTATGTTATGCTTTCTGTATTTACAATCAATAAAAAAGGTGATGAAGTATCAGCAGCAAAACTGACTTTTATGACTAAGTTGTAAGCTAGGTTTCCATATTAAATCTTTGCAAAATTCTTTCACAGCTTGTCTTTATGTGGGTATTCAGAAAACAAATTTGCAGACAGGCAAATGCCTGAAAATATTCAAATCTTGTGTTTTAAATTGTGTTATATTTTTTTTACTGGGTAAAATCACTGTAGCATAATTATGGACACAACACAATGCAATATTGGGCCAGTTATTAAATTCTGATATAAACATGCTGTCCTCCTTGATTGTGGTGGACAGTAGTGCTTTTACACTGGAAGATATATAAAGAAGTCTATTTGCAGCAAAACTCCTAAGCAATATGATGGTTTGACAGGGAAGCAGCCAAAACTCCACCATTAGAAGTTCAGGGAATTTTTGTTTTAATTTTTTAATTTTTACACACGTTTAATCTGCATTTTTTTGCTAAAAATTACTTTAACCACTTGCCCTCCAGAGGAGATTACCCTCCTTTACTGACCAGGCCTTTTTTTGTGTTCAGCCACTGCGCTATTTCAACTGGTAATTGCGCATTCATGCAGTGCTGTACCCAAACAAAATTTATGTCCTTTTTTCTCACACAAATAGATCTTTTCCTTTTGGTTGGTATTGATCACCTGTGCACTTTTTATTTTTTTGCACCGTAAAGAAAAAAAGACAGAAAATTTTGATGAAAAAAATGATATATTTTTCCATTTCTGTTATAAAAAAATATTGTATAAACTCAAATTTCACCTTAAATTTAGGCCAAAATGAACTTTGATACATGTTTTTGGTCAAAAAATCCCCAATAACTGCATATTAATTGGTTTGTGTGAAAGTTATAGCGTCTACAAATGGTGGTGTAGATACTGGAAATTTACGCCACTTTTTGCTTTGTGGCTCTGCGCTAAGTTTGACTGACAATTGTGCAGTCATGCAATACTGTACATAAAATTACATTTATGGTCCCTTTTTGCACACAAATAGAGCTTTTTTTGGTGGTATCTGATCACCTCTGGGGGTTTTTTTTTTTTGCACTATAAACAAAAAAAAACCTGAAAATTATGAAAAAAAATATATTTTCTAATTTCTGTCAAATAATATCCAATAAACTCAAATTTCATCATAAATGTAGGCCCAAAATGTATTTTGCTATATGTCTTTGGTAAAAAAAAAATCCCAATAACTGCATATAAATTGGTTTGTGTGAAAGTTATAGCGCCCTGAGCTCTGCAAAAATGATGGTATAGATATTGGAATTTTTATTAAATGTTTTTGCTATACGGTGTTTGTGCTAGTTTAACTGATAATTGTGTGGTTCATGCAGTACTGCCGTACATAAATTAAAATTTAACACCCGTATTTTTCGAAGCACCATAAGACGCACTTTTTTTTTTTTTCCCCCCAAAAAAAGGGGGGAAAATGTCAGTGCGTCTTATGGAGCGAATATATTGAGCGGGCCGGTTATCTCGGTATTTCCACTGCCGCTGAGTCAGAATACCGGGCCCGGCCGCCTCAGCTCTACAGCGGGACCTTATAGAGATGACTGTTTACCTTTTGGGGAGGGGGGGGGAGCGGGTACCTGAATTTGACACAGATAACCCCCTATCCCACTTCCGTGGAGTAGTTTTTCTTTTTTTTTTTCATCTTACCACGATTCCTCTATCCAGCGGCGCGGTCATCCCGGCTTCTGTAGTGTGGGCATGACAGCCGGGTGCCAAGTGCGCATGCCGCAGGAAGCGGTGCTTTTTTTGTGAATGGTAAGGCGGCACCTGGTACACATTGACAGATTCCCAGAAGCCGCCGGACCAATCACAAAGCGCAAGTGCTTCTCGCTCATGCGCATTAAGTGGGCACCCCACCGGCTGTATATGCCGAGCACCATTACAGAAGCTGGAAGAACAGCGCCGCCGCATGGATCGAGGAACAGGTAAGGATGAAAAAGAACAACTCCGCGGAAGTAAGAGCGGGTAATCTGTCGAATTCAGGTACCCCCCCCCCCTCCCCAAAGGTCAGCAGTCATCATCCCCTGTACTATCCGCATTCTCTGATCATCCCTGTACTATCCACAGTCTCTGGTCATGCCCTGTGCTGTCCGCAGTCTCTGGTCATCCCTTGTACTGTCCCGCAGTCTCTTGGTCATCCCCCCTGTCTGTCTGCAGCCTCATGGTCATCCCTGTGCTGTCCGCAGTCTCTGGTCATCTCCTGTACTGTGTCCGCAGTCTCTGGTCATCTTCCTGTAAAAACTCAATTTCCTGTTTGTCCGCAGTCTCTAGGTCATTCTCCTGTACTGTGTCCGCAGTCTCTGGTCATCTCCTGTACTGTGTCCGAGCAGACTCTGGTCATCTCCTGTACTGTGTCCGCAGTCTCTGGTCAATCTCCTGTACTATTGTCCGCAGTCTCTGGTCATCTCCTGTACTGTGTCTGCAGTCCATTAGTTCAGAATTTTTTTTTTTCCTGTTTTCTGCCTCTAAAACCTAGGTGCGTCTTATGGAAGCGAAAAATACGGTATGTCCTTGCTTTTTCACACAAATACAGGTGAAACTCGAAAAATTAGAATTATATCATGCAAAAGTTCATTTAATTCAGTGCAGCAACTTAAAAGGTGAAACTAAATATATGAGACTCATTACATGCAAAGCAAGAAATAGTTCAAGCCGTGATTTGTCATCATTGTGATGATTATGGCTTACAGCTCATGAAAACCCCAAATCCACAATCTCAGAAAATGAGAATATTCCATGCAATCAATAAAACACGGATTTGTACAGTAGAACAATATCAGACCTCTGAAAAGTAGAAGCATGCATATGTACTCAGTACTTGGTTTGGGCCCCTTTTGCAGCAATTACTGCCTCAATGGCGGCGTGGCATGGAAGCTATATGCCTGTGGCACCTGCTGAGGTGTTATGGAAGACCAGGTATGCTTCAATAGCGCCTTCAGCTCTTCTGCATTGTTCGGGTCTCATGTCTCTCATCTTTCTCTGGCAATGCCCCATAGATTCTCTATGGGGTTCAGGTTAAAGCGATCGAGACGCATTTTGCTGGCCAATCAAGCACAGTAATCCCACGGGTCCTTGAACCAGGTTTTGGTGCTTTTTGGCAGTGTGGGCGGAGCCAAGTCCTGCTGGAAAAAATGAAGTCAGCATCCCCCATAAAGCTCATCTGTGGAAGGAAGCATGAAGTGCTCCAAAATCTCCTGGTAAACGGCTGCATTGACCCTGGACTTGATGAAGCACAGTGGACCAACACCAGCAGATGACATGGGTCCCCAAAAATCAACACAGACTGTGGAAACTTCACACTGGACTTCAAGCATCTTGCAGTGTTTGCCTCTCCATTCTTCCTCCATACTCTGGGTCCTGGGCCTCTCCATTCTTCCTCCATACTCAAGTAGGCGTAGGGGTCCTTGGGCCTCATCCATTCTTTCCGACCATACTCGGGGTCCTTGGACCTCTCCATTCTTCCTCCCATACTCGGGGTCCTTGTGGGCCTCTCCATTCTTCCTCCATACTCGGAGGTCCTTGTGCCTCTCCATTCACTTTTCCTCCATACTCCTCGGGGTCCTTGGTTTCCAAATGAGATGCAAAAGTTGCTCTTATCAGAAAAGAAGGACTTGGACCATTGAGCAACAGACCAGGTCTGTTTTTCTTTTAGCCCAGGTAAGAACTTCTGACGTTGTTTGTTGTTCAGGAGCAGCTTGACAAGAGGAATACGACATTTGAAGCCCATGTTCCAGGATCCGTCTGCGTGTGTGGCTCTTGAATGCACTGACTCCAGCCTCAGTCTACTCCTTGTGAAAGTCCCCAAACAACTTTTGAATGGCCTTTTTCCTGACAATCTTCTCCAGGCTGCGGTCATCCCTGCTGCTTGAGCACCTTTTTTCTTCCACACTTTTCCCTTCCAAACAAACTTTCTATTAATGTGCTTTGATACAGCACTTTGGGAACATCCAACTTCATCTTCAGCCAATTACCTTTGAGGCTTTCCCTCCTTATGGAGGGACCTGTCAATGATGGTTTTTTCCCCGGATGCACAACTGTCAGGTCCAGCAGTCTTTTTTTCCCATGATTGTGATTCCTACTGAACCAGAACTGAGAGACCATTTTAAAAGGGCTCAGGAACCCTTTGCAGGTTTATGGTTTAATTAGCTGATTAGAGTGGGACACTTTGAGCCGAGAATATTCCACCTTTTCACAATATTCTCATTTTCTGAGAGATTGTGGATTTGTGGGTTTTCTCATGAGCTTGTAAGCCATAATCATCACAATGATGACCAATCACGGCTTGAACTATCTTGCTTTTGGCATGTAATGAGTCTAACTCTCATATATTAGTTTCACCTTTTAAGATGCTGCACCTGAAATAAATGAACTTTTGCACCATATCTAATAATTTTTTGAGTTTCAATACACACCTTAGAGCTTTCTTTTGTTGGTATTTGATCACCTCTGGGTTTTTTTTTTTTTTTGCGCTATAAACAAATAAAAGACCAAATTTTTTTTTAAAAAACCTACATTTTCTCATTTCTGACATAAAAAATATCACAAAAAAACTAAAATGTTTGTCATACATTTAGGACAAAATGGTATTTTTGCTACATGTGTTTGGTAAAAAAAAAAATCACAATAATTGCATATTAATTGGGTTTGTGTTAAAGTTATAGCATCTACAAACTAGCATAGATACTGAAATTACACAGCTTTTACTTTCTGACTGCTTATCACATTTCTTGAGGTGCCAAAATACTACCAGGATAGTACAAAAACGCTGCAAAGGACCCTTGCAAATGACCCTTTTTGGAAAATTACACTTTTTTTTTTTTTTTTTATTTTACACAAAGTCAGATAGTCACTTAAATAAATATAATTGTCTCACACATTCCAGATGGTGTATATGTGAAAATTACACAACAAAATACATCGCCCTCTCTCTACCCCCCTTCCAACACCCACCAACCCCACCCCACCCCAAACACAAACCTACAGAATCTGCTACTTCTATTGAGTATGGGGATACACCACACTGTCGTGAGACTTTTTTGGAGTCGAGGAAATTGAGCCACATACCACGGAGCCCGAAATCCAATGACCCACATTTGCAGATGCCTGAAGGTTTGCATAACTTCCTCAGTGGGGGTTTCACTTCCTCACTACCTATCACAGTTTCAGAGGCCAGGAACGCACCAACCCCCCCCCACCCCCCGCCCAAACGACGAGTTGTTTTTTTAAAAGTAGGCACCACAAGGAATTTATCATACGAGGCATGCTGAGTATTTTGCAGATTTTTTTTCTCACAAGGTTTTGAAAAAGAAAAAAAGAAAAAGAAAAAAATATATTTTTTGTTTTCTTTAATTTTCAAAATATTTGTGACAACAAACAAGATCTGCAAAATACTCACTATGCTTCTTATCAAATTCCTTGGGGTGTTTTTTTTTTCCAAAAAGGGGTTTATCTTGGGGGGGGGGGGTCATACTATTCTGGCATTTCAGGCCCTCCAAAACTGTGATAGGTAGTCAGGAACTATAATGAGGCCCTTTAAAAAGTCTGAAGGTGCTTATTGTATTTTGGGGTCCTGTAACTTGGCTAGGCTGCCCAAAAGTCTCTCACATGTGGTACCCCCCCATACTCCACCCAACTCGGGAGAAGTAGCAGAATGTATTTTGGGGAGTAATTCCACATATACCCATGGCATGTGTGAAAAATAAATCATTTAAGTGACAATTTTGTGTAAAAAAAATATATTTTTTTTGTCATTTTCCAAAAACTTGTGGTAAAAAAAAATTAATTCTTCTATTGACTCAACATGCCTCTCAGCAAATAGTTTTGGGGTTTCTACTTTCCAAAAAGGGGTAATTTTTGGGTGGGGGCGTTTTATGCCCAGCATTAGAAGTTTATGCCACACATCATTCACTCTTCTAACCACCTGAAGACCAAGCCTTTTCTGACACTTTTTTGTTCACATGAAAAAAATCTGTATTTTTTTTGCTAGAAAATTACTTTGAACTCCCAAAACTATATATTTTTTTTCCAAGCAGACACCCTAGTGAATAAAATGGTGGGTGCTACAATTTTTTATGTCACAGTGATTTTTCAAATGCAGATTTAAAAAAAAAAAAAAAAAAAAACCACACACTTTTTTTACTTTTAATGCACAAAAACACAATATATTGGCCAATTATTGGTAAAGTATAACATATGAAGATATGTAGACTAAATGGATACCAAACATGACATGCTTTAAAACTGAACACGCCCCGTGCAATGGGCAACAAACTACATACATTTTTTAATATCCATAGGCGATGCTTTAAAAGCCTTTAGAGGCTACGATTTTAGATTTACAGAGGAGGTCTAGTGTTAGAATTACTGCCCTTGATCTGATGTTCACGGCGATACCTCTCATGCATGGTGCAACTGCTGCTTACTCACCAACATGGGTCAACGATTTTGCACGCACGCAGATGAGAGGGGAAGGGTCTTTTTTAGTTATTTTGATTTTTTTATTATTTTTACACTGTCCCTTAAATTTTTTTTTTTTTAGCACTTTTATTGCTATCGCAGGGAATGTAAATATCCCCTGTGACTGCAACAGGCATTGACAGGTATTACTTTTAATTTTTTTTACTTTTAACTAATGAAAAAAAGTGAAGAAATATCTGCCAGAAAACGTGTGTGATAGGCCCACCATTAGAATATACTGCCCTGCATCCACCCACTTCTAATGGTGGGCACACATGAAATGTTGTTTTTTTTTGTCGTTCTTAGACTATAGAAAAAAAAGAACCTAACAGATTCCTCTATTCACATCGATCAATGTGGATGAAGAAATCTCTGCCAAAACTTTTTTTAAAAATATATGCTGAAGCATAGGGGCCATCCACCCACTGGCCACCCCAGGCCCCTATGCTTGGGCATATACGCTCTTTTTTAATTGCGGATGAAAAATCTCATCCAACAGCGCTGCGCACACTTACTTATGTATATTCTGAGAGCAAGACCCCCCTGTTGCTGTCAGAATAAACAGGCTGGTGCTTCAGATGAATAGCATTCCTGCAAATAAAACAGCAAAACAATAAAACAGTGATAGAAAAACAGCAACTCAATAAAACAACTTTTTTATTGAAATATGTGCCAAAAAAATATTATAAAATATATATGCTGAAGCTTTGGGGCCATCCACTCACTGGCCACCCCCAGGCCCCCATGCATGGGCATATATGCTCTTTTTTAACTGCAAATGAAAAATCTCATCCAACAGCGCTGCACAAATTTATGTATATTCCGAGAGCAAGACCCTGTTGATGTCAGACTAAACAGGTCATTGTTGCAGTTGAATGGCATTCCTGCAAAGAAAACAGCAATGGTTAACAATAAAACAGTAACAGTAAAACCGTAACAGTATAACAGTAACTGACAACAA